ATAACAAATAATAAAATCATCTAAAAACTTACAAAAAATATCATTCATAAGATGTTGAAAAGCGGCTTGTGCATTGGTGACTTCAAAAGGCATGACATTATATTCAAAATATCTATACCTAGTTTAAAAAGTAGTCTTCTATTTATCTCTTTCTTTGATATGAATTAATTTTTATGCTCCTCATAGATCTATTTTGGCATAGATCTTTGCTTGAATTAGTCAAGAAGTCCTAAAATCAAAGATAAAGGATATCTATTTTAAATAGTGATCTTATTGAGTCCTCAATAATCTACAAATATTCGTAGAGATCCGTTTTTCTCCTTTACAAATAAGATAGGAGCATCGGTTGGAGATTTAAAATAGCTTGTGAAGTTCTTTGCCAAATTCTTATCAATATATTCTTTTAATGCAGCCAACTCATTCTGCAATAAGCTATAGATTCGTCTGAATAGTAGTTGAGCTCTTTCTTGCAGATCAATTGAACAATCATAAGGTCGATGCTTTGGAAGAATATCTATATTTTTCTTTTCAAAAATGTCTAAAAATTCTTGATATTAGCTAGAAATACTACTTGGCATTTTTTCACCATTAGAAATAGGTGTAGCATATATATTAAAGATGATTCTTCTTTTCCAACATGCATGAAAATTTTTGCACGTATTAGTAAAGGTTTGGATGTATTAGACTTATGTATTTCTACTTCACTAATGCAATCTTGGATTATACTACTAAAAAAATTAAGATTATGAAAAATCCAATCTATTTGAAGATTATATTTTTCTAGCCACAATAATCCTAAAATAATTATATTAGAGGGAGATCTTATTGCATTAAATACTACTATGTTGTTATGATCTTTAATTGCTACATCGAAAAAAATGGTCTCATAGATAATAATTCTAAAAGACAATGAATGACCATCTATGACTTCTATATGTATAGGTTTAGTTTTCTTGACTAAAGATATTTTTTTATTTTTGACAAAATCTTCATCTATAAAAAAGGTTGAGGCTCTTGAATCTAAAAAGACAAAGACTTTGTACTTTTTAGGTCCTAAACATACATCTATTGTATAACAAGGTGAATGAACTAAGAAGAGAATATGACCTTTACTAGGTGTTACACATGATTCCAACCGCATAGTTCTTATTATAATTGAAAAAACTTGTTTTTCAATACATTAATTTCTTTGGCAATTGTGCTCGTCATTGTATAATTATGCTACTTCTTTGAACAATGTTGAGCAGTGTGCTTAGCTTCTCTATAATATAAATATGAACATCTTGGCGATATTGAATCTTTTTTTGCTCTATAAGATGTTCAAAATATATTGTATCAATTTGCATTGATTCTAGCCTTGATGAATACGTTTCAAGAAATTTTAGAGCTGTCGCCATTACTTGACTTATTCTTCCAAACATGTCTTTATTGTTGACTCCTTTTAAATAATCAATTGTGATATGAAATGGCTTGAGTAATAAATTATTCCAAAGGTTCTATTTTTAGTATTTTTAATAAAAAAATCTTTGATGTTATCCTTCAACCCATATCAAAATTAATTGATAAGTGCTTTGTCATTTCAGTCCATATTGCAAGCAAGGTTTTAGAATTCAGCAGCATATGTGGTGGCTAATCACAATCCTTCTCATAAAGATAAGAGTTTGGTCTTTGCTACACATTCTCAATCACTTTCTCCAAATGTGGCCCTAAATACTTTTAAGAATGAATTTAAATCATAAAGAAGTATTGAATCTTTTTCCATCAAAGGTGCAAATTAAGAAAGAATACTTTCAGATAGAAGTGTGCTTATGAAGCTAACTTGAATAAATCCATTTGCATATTAGAAAGGGCGTAACCTTAAGTAGAGCTTAACTTGTTATAAAAACCCTAAAAATTTTGATCTTCTTCTATCAAATTTTTTGATCATACTAATTCTTGCCTCTCTTGAGCTTGTAGAAGCAAGACCCCTTAAATTTGGTTGTAAGGCTAATTGACTTATTTCCCTCAACTGCTTAACTTCTTGATGTAGACTCTGAACTTCTTCTATAGGTATAGAAGTAGTGCTCCCATGGTTGATATTAGTGATGTGTGAAATTTTTCCCCTAAGAGTATCGACAAGCTCATGAAGATCCACAATAGTTATAAATCTATTCTTACTTCCATTAGGAGTAGCATCTATAATCTTTTCTTCTATAGACAATTCAAAAATATCCAAAAAATTAAATTAGAAGAAAGTAATTCACAACTTCTAATAAAAATTTCCACAAGGAGGAATAATCCATATTTTTTTAAGAAAAATATTAGTATTAGAAATTAAGATTTTTTTTATTTGAAAGTAGATAGTCTGCAACCTTCAAAATACAACAATAGAAGTCGGATAATCCACTCATTTCTAAAACAAGACAAAAACGGTATGCTAGCACTCTTCTTAAGCTATCAAGGACATAAATCTCAAAGAAAGAAAATCCTCAATACATTCTTTTGTCACTAAAGAGAACTAGAAAGTGATTGAAAAGGTGATGTAATATTAAACTAGAATGGCTATTAGCAAAAAAAAGAAGATTAAAAAGTCTTGAAATCAGACTAAGGACTAGAAAGGCATTGACAAGAGGAAAGAAGGTTTCATTCTTGCCTCCATATATACTCTTAACTAGGAGCTACGTGGTGATGTCCTGTAAGACCTCCAAAATGTGTTGACTTTACTAACCACATGTCTTAATTTGCAAGGCAAGTTATCTGTATATGCGCCACATAGTTAGCTTGTTCCACAAGCTATTACACAAAGTTAACTTATTCCACAAGCTACCAATAAGTGGTTAATTTGTTGGCCAAGTTTCTATCCTATAAATACATGTAAAGTCAAAACCGTGTCTATAGAGCTTTTAGAAAGCTTCTCTAGAAGACTTAATGAAATTAATCTATATTTATCTACTTCTACCTAATCATATAAATAACTATTGAAATAAATATATATGTCTATCACATGTAGTATACTCTCTTTAAAGAAAACAATCAATATTAGAAAATTAAAAATGAGTTTTAAAAGTGAGTAGTCTGTAACACTCAAAACACAACAATAGATGTAGGATAGTCTATTCACTTCTAACAAAAAATATAGACAACAAGTTAGCACTCTTGTCAAACTATCAAGGACATGAATCTTAGATAACTAAAAAATCAATATACTCTTTTGTTACTCAAAAAGATTGAAAAATCACTCAAAGATGATTTAATATTAAACTATAATGGCTATTGCCAAAAAGAAGAAGACTAAAAAGTCTTGAGACTAGACTAAAGACTAAAAAGACATTGACAAGAGTAAAGAAGACTTCACTCTTGACTTTATATATACTATCTAACTAAGAGCTACGTAACGACATTCTATAGAACCTACAACATGTGTCCAATTTGTAAGACACTTATCTTAACTTGCAAGACAAGTTTCTTATATGTGCGCCACATTATTAGCTTCTATCATAAGCTATACACATATAGGATACATGGCTAATTATGTAAAAAATCAAATATGCGTCTATGAAGCTTCTAAAAAGCTTTGTCATAAGATAATATCAAATCTACTTATATTTTTACCTTCTACCTAGTACTTCTTATCTGGATAAATATACATGTCTATGATGATTAATAATATTTAATTTTTTTATATAAGAATAATTTAAATAAGTATTATCATTTGACTTTTTAAAAATATATAAATTTTTTAAGCTATTTATTTTTGTAAATTTTGTTCTATTGTAAGTATAATTGTTTGATCATAGATTAAAATTAGAATAATAAATAAATATCTTATAATTTATTATTAAGTCAAGAAATATATTTTTTGATTTCTATTTTTTATTTTTAATCTTAAATATATATATGTTATAGATTTAAAAAATTAATGAGTTTATTTAAAATTAAAAATATATAAAATTCACAAAATTCTAACTTTAAAAAAAATATAATTTTGAGCATTAAAAAAGTCATGTATCTTTTTTTACATTTAAATATATATATATATATATATATGTATATATATAGATTGATTTATAGTCTTAAAAAACCCTATATTAGATTGATTATTTAAAATAAAAAATTACTATGTTTCTAAAGATGACTCTTTATTTATATTTAAAGATATAAATACATATTAAAGATAATGTTGGTTTCCAAATCTAAATATAATTTATTATTATATTTAAATCCTAATATAATAGTATTTAATTTTTTTATAAATTCAAAATATTATAAAATAAACATCAAATTATTAAATAAGTTTTACAACTATCATCTTATGATTTTATAAAACTTGACAATAAATATAATATAATGCCAAAAAGATTAAACAAATCATTCTTAAATCATTTATGCATTTCTAAGATCTTTTTATAATCTTAGATTAGTCTATAATATTTATATGATTTTTAAAGAAAAATATTAAATAGATCTAGATTTTTATTGAATTGACCTATCTATGATGACAAATATGGTAATAATGATGAATGTGATTAGATTTCATTGGTTTTGGATCTACTAGTGGAAAAGGGAATCTTAAGGTAATTTTTTTTTTCATGATGATTAGGATAGTTTGTTCAATTTAGGAAAAGCTTGAGACTATTTAATATTCTCTTTCTTAAATTAAAAACATATTGTTTTATAAAAATAATGCATGAATTTCTTCCAAAGAATTTTAGTTTCCAGTCACTTACAATTCAGAATACAATAAAGATATCAATACAAAAAATAACGACAATATACTAGAGTCAAAACAATAGTTAGTTATTTTGGTAATATCACCTCATGGCACCCAAGTCCACCCATATCACCACATACAAAATTACTTAAACAAATACCTCATGGAATATATAAATGTACAATATCCATGAGAGCTTTACGACTATTTGCATAAAATATACAAGTATGGACCCAAACCTCAGATCAAGATTGGCATAAGTTGCGGAGGGGACTTAATTAAGCACTTGTCATGGCTTTGGAAGCGTGCATGTGCCGGGGCCTGAAGTTGACAGTTCGATTGGTTTGGGTTCCGAATTGAGCATGGGGGTGGTAGTGCGATGCCGATCCGACGAGGAGGTGGTTGTGATGGAGACCGGCAGGGCGTGTGTGATGTGCGACTCCGAACCAGGGTTGGATGCGGCGTTCGCGGCGGTTGTGGGCAAGGGTGGCCAGTGAGAAGGCGATTTTCACATACGCGACGGACGTAGGCAAGAGGTGGAGAAAATGCATGTGTTATTTCCGCTGGTGAGATGCGAGCGAAGGGTTTACAGTAGAAGCATTGGTTTCGAGGCGGGAGTTGCTGTGGCGGTGGAGTAGTTTTACAGAGAAACTGTAGATCGGTTAACCTTGAATTTCCAACACTTCTGGTCCAGGCGACAGGGCCTGAACGGAGGCCGACGTTTACTTGGTGGGTGTATTCCAATTTAGAAGAGAACACAGGGTAGTGATGATGCGCTGTGCAGAGTTAGTTGAGGAATGGTAGCATCGGGGTTGGACGCGGAAACACAGCGGGTTAGAGCGGTGAGGAGTGTGACCAAGGTGTCGTGATCGGTGTAAGCACGGCAGGAAGACATTCAGCGCGCAAGTTACCTGGAGGCATGCGAAGAGCCGTGGTGAAGGAGAGCGCGAGCAGGCAGCGGGTGTGGGCGGGGGGGATGCATATAGGGGTTGCGATGCGTTGTGCAGCCAGCAGCGATCACGAGGGTTTGTGTAGGCGTTGCAGGTGTAAACATGCGTGATTGAGAAGGAAGGAGGGAACGGTGGGCAGGAGGTTGGCGCAATCGGGGTGGTTGGTGGCAGGGAATGGGAGGCGGTATAATTTGAGGGGCAAGCACGGACACGGCGAGCGGGCGGGGGTTGTAGGGCAAGTGTGGTTAGTCGGGGAGGCGCAATTGCAGGCGCGGGTGGAGGAGGAGGGGCAAGTGCAATCGAGAGGCAGGAATCGAAAGGCGGGTGCGATGAAGGTGACGATGGAGGAAGGGTCCGATGAGGGGTGGCAAGAGAGGGCGGGATGGACGGTGGTGGTGGTGAGCGCAGCGGGAGAGAAGGTGAAAAGAGCAGAATTGAGTGCGAAAAGGGCAGTGGTGGGCGCTGGCGCTCGGATGCTGTTTTATCCGACGCTGTTGTACAACGTGGTGCGGAACAAGCTGGAATCGGAGTTTCGATGGTGGGACGAGATCGATGAGGTAAGTGTGGGTGGGGATGGATGGTAGGAACGGGCGGTGGGGATGACAGTTGGGGGTGTGATGATTGTGGGAGAGTGAATGGAGGTGTGCATGGATGGGTAGTGGTGACGGTGATTGAAGCAGGAGTCGGAGTGGGAGCGGTGAGGAGACGATGTGTAGGTTGTGTGGGAGGAGTGAATGGGGGAGGTGCGTGGGATGGTGTGTGACGTGGGATGGGTGTGGGTGGGATGGGTGTGGGTGGGATGGGTGTGGGTGGGACGCAGTATGTGCTGCTGGGTGCGT